AAAGCAGTGTCTGAGTTTAAATGGGTTTGCCAATTAAAATGTACATTGCAGGACATCAAGTGCCACTCAAAGCACAAATGTGTATCACCTAGCCTTCCTTTCAGGTGTGGGAAAAGAACAGATTATCATGGTCAACCCTCAATCTAATGTCCCTTTAAAATGACATATAACACTTCCGTCTAATTTAAGCCATTGTTTGTGAAGAAAGGGATTAATGGCAACTTTCCAAACCTTTAGGGGTCAATACAGAAGGTTGTCTGGATATCCTCCATTTACATTTGTAATTGTGTTAACTCCTGTCACTTGCTTTAAGCATACATTACAAAGCATTTAGCTTGTGCTTTTATCCAAAGCAACTTACAATAAGTGCAATAAACCATAAAGATTCAAACTAAGGACCACAAGAACAGCGCTGACATATTTACTTCTAACAACATTATCAAGTGCTAATTGTGCCATTACAAATTGACAACCACTGCATTACAGCTCACGGAAACTGCACATGGTCGCCCTCTGTAAATATGGCCATTACATTTAGGCTAAAATGCACCACATATATTCTTTTGGCACCAGAAACTGCGTTTTCTCGTCGGTTTATCAAATTTAGATTAAAAGGTTATTTCAAAGCAACATAGCTAACATTAGCCCAGATGGTTATCAGCTAATAAACAGGGGAGTTTAACAGCCTCAGTAGTAGTGCAACCCAACCTCGCTTAAATTATAATGCTTAGTTATTATCTCGCCTATTTAAATAGATACACATATGTCATGAATATACAAGTGTTAGGGAACATTAGTATAACTAACATTGCCTAGCTTCTGTTGGGTGTCTCTGCTAGCAATTACTGTGATTGCAGTAGTATACCATTAGCTACAACAAGCTAACGCTGATTCAGAAAGCTTTCGTATCATTAACTTTATCATAACTAACATATTCCTGGACTTACAGTCATATACCCGCGATGCAGCGTTCGTCCCAGTGGTACAAGATGATAATAAGTGAGTGATTTAAGCCTCCTAAATACCGATATGCTAACGATAACTAGCCTGCAATAATGATGTTTTGGCAAGCCTGCTGTTAGCTACCCTTCTCCTCTGACGGACGAACTCCACTACCTCATAGCATCTTTTACAACGGCGTAAAAGAAAAACACTTACCCGTTTATCTGTTGTTCTTGATACACTAAAAAGTGAACCTACTGTATAATATAATTACTACACGTTTAACTGGCCACGAAAATAAACAGAAAAATCCTCTCCACCCACCACGCTCAGACTGCGCATGCACGTATGGACAGTGATAGGCGTGGCGCTGCTGTTTGTTTTTCTCTCGTATTTTTCATAAGAAAACCTCATTTAATAACCAAGAAAGAGGCCCATTGTCAGAAATAATCCCAGTTGGAATTTAACTCCAATTTGTAAGATTTATGAATCATCCATATATGGGGCATTCTACCGCATTAGTACAAAGTGCGGTCCCACAACAAATCAAATCAAATCAAATCAAATCAGGTTTTATTTATATAGCACATTTAAAAGCGATTTTTGGTCGAGCCAAAGTGCTGCACATGTAATAAAAACACATTACTACAATCACAATAAACGACAATAAATTACAACAGATATATCTTAAAAACAAAATAAAAATAAAACACACGGAAAACTATTTAACAAAACAATTAAGTATTCAGACAAAGATATTTACTAAGAATATGTTATGGTCTATTTAAACATAAGGCTTTAAATTATATAGCGATAAGCTTAATATATACAAAAACATCATTTATAGATTACTTTCTATTGGGAAGTAGCTGTCCCCAACCCTGACATCTACATTTCAATTTCTGTAAATAACACTTAAAACATTTTTTTAAATGTATTTCAATGGTGTATTTGGAAGATCTTTATGATTACATTCAAACAGAAGTTGGAATATTTAGATTTATTGTGGGTATCATTTTTTAATAAAAAAACTATACTCAAAAAATCATGTCTCCAGTTTTCATGTCACTACCGAAACACAAGGGGTTTTAGTTGGCTGAGCCTGGTTTTTAGCCACACCCCTGCATTTTTGACAAGGCAGTGACACTGCATCCCTGTCCCTCTGAATGGCAACTGGCAAGTAGCTATATCCCATACTTTTGATATAAATCTGTTCCAAAATCTGAAAATCGGCGTGTAACCTTAAGAATTGTCACTACCGAACACATATTATCTTCAATTAAGTAAACTTTTTTGGGGTTTTATGCAAAGTATTAGGTTTTTATGTGTGTAAACCTCTTCAAATACGTGTATGCTAGCCATGTACTTGCTAGCATTCTTTAGTTATGCTCAATTTTAGCTAGAATCGTCACTAGCGAAACAGTCACTAGCGAAACATATGGTTACGTTTCGGTAATTGACATGATCGTTTCGGTAGTGACAAAATGGAATGGTAAGCAGGTAAATCCCACCATTTTGAAATAAATGTGTTTTAAAGTCTGAAAATCAGTGTGTTACTTTAAAGGTCTCTTATTATACTATTGTTAGGCATATATTATAGGTCTCAGATATATAAAAAACATGTCTATGAAGTGTTTTGCTCAAAATACCAAACAGATCACCCATTCTAGCCTCATTCCCCTCTATTTCAGCCTGTTACTAAAGTGCTGATTCTGGGTCAGTAGCTTCAAACATTCACACTTCAACATAAGGCATGTTATGAGTTAAGATTAACCAATAAGGTTGAGGGAATATGATACAACCTTGAGAACAAAATACTGTGGTCACTACAGAAACAGTGGATGTTTTGTAAAAAATGTAGTATATTGAGTTATCAACTAAAATGATGATAATGATTGGTTTAATGTATGTTCAATTTCAACAATCATCAACTCTGGAATCAATATGATCAGTATTATGCATTTTACAAAGAACGTTTGCATTATGATTTTTATGAATTGTATAAATTGAACTTTGAAATTTGATTAAAAATTCACTTTTATTAATTTTATTTGTGAAAACCCTCAAGAAATATTTGTTTAAATACTATTTAGAGAAGGGAAGGTAAAACAATCTTAACAGGTTAATATAATACTTTTTTACTACAGTGTATGTACTATGTTTCGGTAGTGACCATTTTTGGTAGAGGAAGAACATTCCAATACAGTCTGAAAATACGATGTAAAAATGTACGGTTCTTTTACTAGATATGTGTAATTTAGATATGGTACAAAATATATATGGACAAAGTTTTGGGGAAAAAACATACAATATTCCAAATCATTTCCAACCTGACTTTGGTCCAATTCGGTAGAATGGCCCATATAGGCCTACGCTACCATTCAAACATGTCATTCTTTATCAGAGGTGGGATGTATTTTTACTCAAGTACTGTACTTAAGTACAACTTTTAAGGTACTTGTACTTTACTTGAGTATTTCCATGTTGTGCTACTGTGTATTCCTACTCCACTACAATTCAGAGGTGAATAGTGTACTTTTACTCCACTACATTAATTGAATACCTTTAGTTACTTTACAGATTTGGATTATTGATGTGAAAAATAATCAACACTTAAATCAGACTTTAGTTACACCTGGAGTAAATTCACAAGCTACTCTGCAGTATACAAAGTCATTCAAACTGCACCTATGCCAGCTTTGATAACACTTTAATGCGTCAATAATTATAATCAAAACATATAATATATATTATTCTGAAATGGACCAACTTGCATAATGAGTGCTATTACTTTTGGTACTTTAAGTACATTTTTATGCTAAGACTTTTGTACTTTTACATGAGCAACATTTTGAATGTAGCAACTTTTACGTGTAACAGTGTATTCCTAAACTGTGATACTTCTACTTTTAATCAAGTACAAGATCTGAGTAGTTCTCCCACCTCTGTTTTTCATACATATTCAAATAGATCTCTTCTCCTCACCAGATGGTTGTCACCATAAAAACAAAGTTGGTTATATTATTTTATATTTGCTGGGTGCATTCCTCTCCAATGTATTAATGAATGCATGTCCAATGTATACAAGAATAAATCTTTAGATGATGTTCTCAAAAGATCTTTAAGGTGTAACTTAAGTGTTGTGATGGTTTTACTGTACTTTCAAGTCTATTAAAAATAGAGTGTGTCATCACAGTAATAAAACCATTCTACTGTCCAATTCTCCCTTTCTGGTTCTCTCTCTTTCCATATATCCCAATGAGATTTACCAAGTGTTTATGATTTAAAGTTACCCTCCCATGAACCTCAACAGCTTTGTTGCATAAGATTGATGTCCAAAAGCTGCCAAATAAACCTGATGACAAGTTGTTGTCCAGACTATGTAGAGATAGGCAAAGAGAAGGATTATAGAAAAGCAGCTTCTATTTATAAGGTATCAGCTGTACAAATATAATATAGAATAAGTATACAGATATCAAGCATGGTTAAAAATGCAGATATTTAGGTGCGAACGGTGTTGACCAATGAACAACAAAAAGAATGCTGTTTATGCGTTTCATAAAAACAAACCCATTTATTGTTTGTGTAGTAAACTAAATAAACAGAATGATATATTTGTAAAGCTTAATTATACATTATTCTGGAGGTGTAGTAATGTAACATTCTTCTTCTTTTTATTTATATTGATGCCTGTTAATGTTTAAACAATGCAGATGGGTGTTTCAATCAAATGAAGCCAGCACAACAGAACAGAGAATATGATGAACCCAAAGTGTATGGGGAATAGTGCTCAAGGGTCTTGGCTAAAAAAGAACATTAAATGTAAGATTCGGCATCTTCCCCTCACCCAAATCCTTTTTGCATGGTCCCTAACCAAACAAAAAACAGGCCATAGTGAACAGAGAAGTTGGAATATTGGATTTTTTAGGAATAATTATTCGGTTTCTACTTTTTCTGGTTTCTAATAAGTTCCACACTGTGAAATAAATGTATTATCTGTCACTGTCAGTCGATATCTCTGCCCTGCAAACTTGGCCGATGTAAATCTGTGAGCTGAGTGAGCATCCTATTATGTCAGAAAGTTCAACAGTGTTATTCCGTCAATGTTATCTGCTTCCGACTGTTAACAGCAGAAGCAAGGTGATGATGTGACATGTATTTCTTTCCATTTGTACTGTTGCTGGGGCTCGATAAGGGAGTCAGCATGCCCGTGTCAGAAAGAGGAAGTGGGGGGTTCAGAGGGCACTGAGCAACCTGATGGCAGGATTGTCAATAGAGCATGTTGGCGTTGGAGACCAGGAATCTGACACCACCTTCTCACAAATGCTGCCACTTGGAGTGGCGTCTCATCCTGAGTGACGGTCTACAAGACTCCAGGCTCTGACACCTCCTTATCACTGTGGCATGGAGCGGGCAGCGAGAGGCCCGCCAGGCATGTGACGCTAGAGTTATGGGGATTAAGGTTGTAATCACTGCTGTGATTACATGACAATGAAACAGGGTGTACAAGAGATCAAAACTTGCTTAATGAGAATTTTATTCTTTACAACTATGATAACAATAATATCGGTGTGATAACCAAAAGCAGAATATGAATGGCTGCGGTGTGAGGAAAGATTTCACAGCAGTTTATAGAAATGTTAGGTAAGAGAAATTGTTCATTTTTCAGACAGGAATCCCAGAAGAAATCCAAGACACTGTGAAAGTCATCTCCTGGTCAAAAGCTAGATATAATGGCAAACAAATAAAGGGAATAATGTCACATACTTTAAATAATTTCAGCAGCTACAACGTACCATAGTCCATCTTCTTAATGAGTATATAGCCAACACTATGATTCAATGCAATGATTTTAAGAGACTTTTCATACAAAAACAAAAACATACAGCATCCTATAAGTAGTGCAAATCATTGTTATCCGGGGGCTATCCTGAATTGAAGATTTTTCAATTATTCTGAAACTGAATATGCTGGAGCAACGACTGCATTAGATGTATTTCCTGCCAGAACGAAATGTACTGTAGATATTATAAAGAAAGGTCTGTGATGAAAAGATGTCAGATAATAAGATACTGCATTTACATATTGCAATAAGATGGCGTGTAGAAGTATTTTCTTTTCAAGCACTGTTATAACCCGGGGCGCGAACTTCACTTTTGTCAGACTCAGTACCTTGAAACATTCTTTTGATCTTGGATCCTGCACACATACTTTCAAACAATTCAGACGGTTGTTATTGCAACTGATAACAGTGCTGTAGTATTGAACCTTTTGACTAGCTCGCCATTAATGACATGGAGTTTCCAAACAGGATTTATCGGAATATTCAGACATCCACTCCCAGAACCTTCTTTCTTTTCTTATCTTCTTTAGTCTCTTGCAGTGTCAGATGCGGCCGATAACATACAGTAGTATTTGCAGGAATATGGCCTGTGATTTACACTGTAATGTGGTATTATCCAAAAGCATTCTAAAATACAAAAAACAGCAAATAATATATTAAATCATGACAAAAGCTTTATATTCTACATTAATATAATAATAATAACCTTTATACAATTAAAAATGTACATCATTTAGCACAGATTTGTGTCCGTCCCTAATATACAACTATATGTCTAGAGTTGTGTTTTTGCACACCACTGTAGAGATCTTAAATACTGTGGAAACAAGCACATGATAAGGAATATAAATAGATGAATAGATGTGTTTCTGAGATGATGGTTGAAACATTGGTGCAGTCTCTCTCTCTCTGTGTAAATGTTTCCAAGACTATCTACAGCCACACTCTGCCACCACCATTCCCTCATACTTGTGGTTGAAAGTGATCACTCCGTTATCGTGATAAAGGAGTGAAATTGGCTCCAACTTAGTGGGTACACAGCAGGCACGCGATGCCCTCTTCGGACTCTTAACACTCAGCAGTGTCTGCACTATGGCATGTTTGGTAGGCGAGACCTCGGAGGTCATAGGGGGGTTGCACACGCCTTTGCACTCATACGCCTCATAGCCCACAGGCTGGATGATCCACGTGTCCCAGCCAATGTCTTTAAAATCCACAAAGAGTGGGGTCCTCTTGCATGGCTCGCTCTTAACATTGCGACGGATTCGGGGAGGTGTGTCATAGATAAGGTTGGACTGCAGTTGCATGAGAGACTGTGTGTCCAGCTCGTCCTGAATAGCGTGGCCGGCATTGTGGTTCCCCCAGAAATCTGGTTGGCTTCGGCCTACATTATCAGGAAGGTCATTCTCATGTTCGATCATCTGGTTGAGCTCTTGTTTATCCTGCTTGCGATCTCCGATTTGATCATCTGAGAATACAATCATCACCGCATTGTGTTTCCCCTCCAAACTCCTGTCGATATCAACCCCAACCAATCTCTCGTCCTGCTCCGTGACCTCTTGAGTGACCCCTTCCTCTTCTGACCCAAGACATGCAATATGTACCTCCAGACTGTGAGTAGCAAACCCCAACGACTTCCGCCAGAGTGCAACCGCATGAGTCAGGTCAAACGACACCCAGCTCTTATCTTTGGCACGAAAATGCTTTGTCACCAGTTCCTCAAAATCCTTCATCTCCACCACCTCTTCTTTATCCCTCCTTCTCCCTTCTTTCCCCACCTCTTTAGTCCAAACAACGCTCTCGTGTATTTTGTAAATGGTCACCTTGCAGTCAATGCCGGCATTTGGTCTTTGGGCCTTCAGGAACAGGGTGAAAAGGCGGAGCTCAGCTATGGTTATGTGCTCATGGTGGTGCATGGAGATGTTGAACAGCAGGGGATGTATCCGTACACCCCTTGTTGTTATGCTGTAGGGGGAGGAATCTGAAATCAAGATATCAAAAAAAGTGTTAATCAATGCATTTTGTATGTTTTTGATGTCAAAACTCATGTTAAACTGTTCACGTTTAGTTTTTTTGTAAATCATATTAATTTTCAAGGCAATTTAAACAATAAACACTTCTAGATTTATAGTATTATGATCAAAGCAATCGACATTTTAAATCCTTAAATCTTAAGAATGTCAGAGAAAACCAATAATAAATTAATTAATTACTTATTTATTTTTGTGCGATACGGAATATAAATGCTCAAAAAGTTTGTTAAACACAAAGAAGTTTGTACCTTCATTCTTGAAACTGCGCACGACGTTGGCTGAGGGAACAGCCGTGCGGTCGTTGGCAAAGCGGTCGTACAGCTCCAGCATGTACTCCGGGGGCTCCCTGCGGGCAGGCAGAGGCCTGGGCTGGGGCCTCAGCTCGGTCAGGTTCATCGTGGAGAGAAACTGACTCAGAAAGACCTGAGCATCAAGTAGCGGATTATCACCCATCCTGACTGATACCCTGTGACTGTTCTCAGGGGACCTGATAGGACTGCTCATGCTCAAACCAGTCAACATCAGGAGAAAGACATTCGAAGAGCGGATAAATCCAAAGTTGGAGAGGACTGAAACGGCCATGGTAAGTGCAGTGGAGTAAAGGTTTCAAATCCAGAGATTGAGTATCAGATGAGAAGACGGGAGGGATCCTTTGGAAAGGATACCTGCAACTGGGAAAGACTGTCCTTCGGTAAATGACAACAGGTTGCTGTTGGGGGCAAAGACAAAACAGGTTTGCCCTTGTTGATCTTGAGGTTTGGTTCTGAGGGCAGGGCTGTGCTGTCCAATGTGCTGTGCTGACATGTTTGGAGATGTTTGGCCTTGCTCTGCCCACCTCCCTCTCCACCCGCCAGGACCTTATCATCCATTTCCACTGATATCTTGATGCATGCATTTTTTTCCTAATCAACCACTGACTAAACTTGCCTTAAAGTGACTTTAGATCAGCATTATATGTTCATGTATGTAGTGATTTATGTTGCACAATGCTGATATTTAAAATGTTTAACCGTTATAAAAAACAATTAAAGAAAATAATGGGTTTGGAGATACCAAAGCTTTTAAGTTTTCAAATGATGTTGGTGGTTCTACTTTTCATTCTAATGCTGGAAATCAATTACCAATTAACAATATGTGTTCATTTATGCTATGCAATCTCCACAAGAGGCCAGTGTAGACTCAGTGTCTATACTTCTGCCTCCTCATCTTAAATGTAATTAAACATTTTCATTAAGTGGTTAAGAGGGTTGATTTGATCTCATTTGCATATGCTTTTAGCTAATTACTGGTGCTGTTTTAATAGCGGCTCTCTGACAGCTCACAAATGCAATCATTGACATCAAAGTACACTCACTTTAACAAACAAAAAACGTATTTAAATAAATGAAAACTGATTTTAAAAATATGTCATTTTAGACATACAACACTATGACATTCCACCCATAGCTCTGAAAACACGTATATGAGACATACACATCATGCCTTGACATGAAGCTATAGATATTTGAACACAGTACATGAGTATCTAGATGCCAACACGTTACTGCTGCAGCCTGCCGAATGAAACATGACTAATGTCAACACATTTCAGCGCTCTCAGTGGCATTGTGCAACCAAGATCAAAGTTTGTTATCAGTCCTCACAGCGACTGCTGATATGAGGTTATATAAATGTCTTGACAGCTTGTCTGGATGTACATGAGGTAGGAAATGTATTATTCTAATGTCTATTCAAGGCAAAAACATGTTATTTATTTGGTTTTAAATATGCCACAAATTACTTTTGGGGAGGAAATGAGAATACAAAGACAAATGTTGCATTGGTATTCTTTGGAAGTGTTTTTGTGATACTCCTTTGCTGAGTCACTGCTTAATCAATAAATGCATTATGTATAGGGCGTAACAAGCATAATACATATGTAAACCATATATTGTACGGTACATTTTTGTCATCTCTGATAAGTTTGTTGTAAGGTATTCTGCATACTGAATTTATGCTAATATATTGAAATGTTGTGAGTTTTGCAAAGAACTGGACATTACTAGGAGTAGACAAAGCAATCTGAACAGTATTGCAATGGATGCTGTAGAGTAGGTCATGTTTTAATTTATATTTAACCAGGTAGTCCGGTATTGCAGTAGGTTGCAGACCAAAATACAGTATGTATAAAGAACATCCAACATATTGCTGTTTGTTTCAAAATATAACTGCTGGGAGTTGAGCGTGTTTTCCAGACTGTTCCCCTGGAATAATTAAATTCATTAGTCAGTGTTTTTTGGCCAATGCACCTCCATTTTGGCACAGATTTCTCCTCTTTGGATCTCTTTGGGTAGGTAAGTGGTTTGAAAACTTGCATATCATTTTTACGAGTGCCAGAAATCATCTACAGCTGTCAAATTCTGCCAACTGGCATTCAACCAAATATGACACACATTTGTAGTTGTGTTTGCAATTGTTGTTTAGCTGTGTTAGAGTTTGGTGTTTATTATGTTGTGCCAGCACATAGTGTGACTGCTAGCAAAGAATAAGCCCTGGCTGTGTACAAATGTTCTTTATACAACGAATGTGTAGGTTTTTAAGTTTGACCACAACGTAGAGAAATTTGAAAATGCAATAGTCACAACTGACTGCCTATAAAGAAAATGAATAGGAGACTTTATCTATTAATTGAAACCTGTTCAGAGAACATAAATACAGGGTTGTTAAACCAGCCGGGGGGCGCTGTTTGGTACCCACTGATAAAATGGAAAAGGGCATAAAATCCAGTCTGCAAAACAAAAAAAGACTTCAATAAAAATGTGAAATTATGCACATCATTTATTTTCATTTTTCATTCAATATAGCGATGCAAAAAGGACCACTGCAAAGCAGAGTTGTATAGAATGTAGGATCACTTACCGGGATTAGCTAATGCACATCGATAACCTTTAATTAATAACATGGGTATTACAATAAATATTACAATATAAATACCTTCATTTAGAATATTAACAGTCTTTTGTTACACATTTACAATTCCCTTTTGCCTATCATGAAACAAATGGAATAGAGGATTCGCTAATAACAGCATAGTCGAGTCTGATGGCAGCTTTGTCAAGAATGAACTGAATTTAAAATCATTTGGATGTTTTTGAAGACGAGGCCGACGATGGCCCTAATAGTAATTATCTCAAACACTGACCAAATTATATTTAAATAATTTTATATCAGAATATTTTTTAGCCCATAACCCATGGGGATGGACAACAACCGATGCTAATTTAGGCCTTCAACTTGACAAACTAGACGTTTTATAAATTATTTCCTTTTTGTGTAGCAATAAAATTCAAATTGTACATGTCATATCATCTTTGGAGTCATGATTCGCCACAGTTTGCATATTCAGGCTATTTCATATGTCATACATAATCCTTCATGAGTTTTTCAGAAATACAGTAGGCTATATTATGCTAAAGGACAAAATCTATTAAATGTTTTTCCAAATAACCTCCATAATATATACATGTAAATGTTTGGCACGTTATTTCCTGTAAACTAAGGAAATTATTTGAATTGTCTGTACAAGAATGAGCAAATAGCACAAATCTGTATTTCACCAATGGAGAGTGTCTCTACAGGATGTGTCTGGCCGTGTTGTGGTGTTTACACCCAGGAGTCCAGCGGTGGAGGTTTGTTATCCATGAGGCCCACTGCAGGCCTGCCAGCTCTGATGAAGTGTTTTCTCTCACTCAGCGCCTAGGTAAAGAAATATGCAAACAGACGGTGTTAGTCAATTTGAATCAGCAACACTGAAAAAACATTAAAATCACAAGGCAATAATCCTCTAAAACTGATTTTAATAGAACATACCTGGAGGTTGTCTCTTTCCACAACAGGCCCTTTAGCATCTCCAACTCTATCGTTTGGCTCTAAACTGGAGTATACATCTGCAAAGGAAATTATAATCACATTAGCGGAAGACAATATGGCAAATGTGGCATTTTACTGACCATTTTACTCAATGCTAAATACATATAATATGCTATTCCTTGTACTGGTGTCTGCAGAAGCCTATAAACCCTACACCAACATTAATTTCCACAACAGGCCAGTCATTAAAAAGCAGCAAAGCCTCAGAAACGATTACTAGATGACTGAGAGAAACAGGCACTTGTAATGAAATAATTCATTAAAAGCTTGCTTGGAAGCTAGAGGTCGCTCTTGACGTGAAAAAGCGGGTGCCCTTTTGGAACAACGTTGAAATGAAATGTCACTGCTGAGGCGTGCGTCTGCTCTGCCTGTGGGGGGGGGCATGTTCAGGCTAATAAGCTGAGTCTCTGCACTGATAACCCTGGCAGCACATCATTGGTTTAAGGCTATGATTCAGAAGAATATGGTGTGGTACTGAAAACCCCCCATTTCTTTGTCCCTGACATGACAAGAGCCACAATATGTTTAAAAGCCGCTTTTATTCCCCGAGCTGGAGGACACTTTTCTCATACAGATGATGGTTTAATAATAGTTTGAATGCATGCAATGATTTGCTGACCTTGGTTTTTGTCCATGAGAGGCAAGGTGATGTCATCGGCGCCTTGCTTTCCACTCTTGGATTTTCTTGTCACCCCGGTAGCTGTTGGCTTTGAAAGATAAAAAACGATTATGTTACTGGATGACTACCAGAATTGTATGCTTTCCTGTTATAATGTTTTAGAGGGGTATTAAAATGGTACCAATTAGAATGAATTGTGCTGTGTTGGACAGCCACACAACTTTACTTTTTCAGGAGACAATAAGCTTAAATGTAATGATCTGTTTTACAGCTCACATAAAGGGTTTCCTGTGTCCTCAGTGGCAAACAGCCGACTGTGCACAATATTTTCTGGGTTCAGATTAAGCCCAAATGTCCCCACTCCGACAAAACACTGATTTATTACCTGAATGTATCTTGTTTATTTTTTACTCATCCATGTTTGTATTTCTCGACTCACATTACTACTGGCAGGTGTAAAGTGGTTTGTCATGCCAAATCCAGAAACTTGTAACAAATACCTTAAAGTGGGTCTTGTTCCAGCCGGCCTTGATCAGGACGCTTCGCAGGTCCTTGTAGGCCCATATTGTCTGGAGCACATGGGAGGCAGCCTTGGTCTCCCGTGCTGATTGGCTGACAACAAGTAATAAGACAACGTGTTAAACAGCAGAGGACAGCTCTAAGACAATACTGTCCCCATGAATAAAATCTATTCCTGATTGCCCTGGGATATGGTGCTTATAATATCACGAGTTAATGAGGCTGTGTCTGAAGTATAAACAGATATTAAGCAGTTGCAGCAACGAATACTATAATACAAACACTATTATTTTCCATCTTATATTGAAAAAAAGGACAATATCTGATCAATATAATTTGGATTTTAAATTACAGCCTGTCAGTTTAGCAAGATGTATCATTATTATTTGATCAACCTTGATTTTAATTGTGTAGTTCAGTTTGGAAAGCTTTACATATTAAATATGTGTAAATCGTATGACGTTAACTATTCAGTTGAGCACCTTGACAATGTGTTAAACAGCAGAGGACAGCTCTAAGACAATACTGTCCCGATGAATAAAATACATTCCTGATTGCCCTGGGATATGGTGCTTATAATATCACGAGTTAATGAGGCTGTGTCTGAAGTATAAACAGATATTTAGCAG